CTGGTACCCCGTCATGGACGTGTTCAGTTGGCCGCGGCCCACCAGTAGCGCCACCACACTACACAGCAGATCCTCGGGGAACGAACCCCAGCCCTGTGGACACACACCGACGTTCACGCTAGTCTGGTAGGGGGAGAGGTCATAAGAGAGTGACACAGTGCCGGAGGTTAGAGGAGTTACAAGAGAGTGACACAGTGCCGGAGGTTAGAGGGGTTACAAGAGAGGAACAAACAGAGGAAAGAAGGAGGAGAGATAAGGACGATAGATGTTCGATAGGAAAGAAAGAGGAGAGATAAGGACGATAGATGTTCGATAGGAAAGAAAGAGGAGAGATAAGGACGATAGATGTTCGATAGGAAAGAAAGAGGAGAGATAAGGACGATAGATGTTGGATAGGAAAGAAGGAGGAGAGATAAGGACGATAGATGTTTGATAGGAAAGAAGGAGGAGAGATAAGGACGATAGATGTTTGATAGGAAAGAAGGAGGAGAGAAAAGGACGATAGATGTTTGATAGGAAAGAAGGAGGAGAGATAAGGGCGATAGATGTTTGATAGGAAAGAAGGAGGAGAGAAAAGGACGATAGATGTTTGATAGGAAAGAAGGAGGAGAGATAAGGACGATAGATGTTTGATAGGAAAGAAGGAGGAGAGATAAGGACGATAGATGTTTGATAGGAAAGAAGGAGGAGAGATAAGGACGATAGATGTTTGATAGGAAAGAAGGAGAGATAAGGACGATAGATGTTTTATAGGAAAGAAGGAGGAGAGACAAGGATGATAGATGTTTGATAGAAAAAAAGGAGAGACAAGGACGATAGATGTTTGATAGGAAAGAAGGAGGAGAGACAAGGACGATACAGGAACACACACACGACATATATACACACATATACATATACATCAACAAGAAAGAAACCAACAACAAACTGAGCCACACAAGAAAGAAGCTAACCAAAAGGGCAGAACGGACCCCCAAGGCAAACCTGGAGGTGTTTGAGAAGGAGTTTACTCTGACAGAATTGAAGGCAGCCCTCAAAAAGTGTAAAAAGAGAAAGGCCCCAGGACCAGACCACATCACCAATGGGATGATCCTCAACCTGACAGACTCTTCCCTCTCCATACTCCTGGACTTCTCCTTCAACAGGACCTGGAATGAGGGACAGCTCCCAACAGAATGGAAGAAGGCAAACATCACAGAAATACTGAAGAAGGACAAACCAGCAAGCCAGCCTTCAAGCTACAGACCAATCTCTTTCACATCATGCTTGGGTAAGGTCGTCGAGAGAATGGTCAACGACAGACTGTACTGGTGGATGGGAAGCACCGGCAATATCAGCACATCACAGGCAGGATTCAGGAAAGGCAAAAGAACTATGGACCACCTCATCAGATTTTGCAGGATTCAGGAAAGGCAAAAGAACTATGGACCACCTCATCAGATTTGCCCAGAAGACCAGCGGTGCCTTTCAAGATAAAGACAATGTCGTGGCCGTCTTCATCGACCTGGGGCAGGCGTACGACCGTGTGTGGAGACAGGGACTGTTCTACAAAATGCAAAAGCTTGGGATAGCAGGAAGGATGTACAGCTGGATCAAAAACTTTCTGTCTTGCAGAACTATCCAGACGTCATGTGACAGCAAGATTTCTTCACAGACGACACTTGTGGAAGGCCTCCCACAGGGGTCAGCACTCAGCTGTACCCTCTTCCTGTTGTTCACGAACGACCTGCCAGATGTCATCTCCTGCCAGATGTCATCTCCTGCCAGATGTCATCTCCTGCCAGAAAGCACTCTACGCTGACGACTTGCTCATCTGGAGCAAAGGAAGTGACATGAGAGCACTGAACCAAGCAAAGGAAGTGACATGAGAGCACTGAACCGAGCCATCAACGCGGATCTGACTACTATCTCGTCCTACTGCCTGCTATGGAAGATGGAGATCAACACAGACAAGACTGTTTTTGGACTCTTCAGCCTCAAAAACAAAGTTACAGCAGGTCAGGTAAACCTGAAGATCAATGGAACCAACATCAGACATGAGGACTATCCCAAGTACCTTGGTGTACAACTGGACTGAGAGATGTCTCTCAAAGAGCACTTAGGGGAGCTGACTTAGAAAGCCACCTCCAGACTAAACCTTCAGAAACACCTTTCATCACTCGACTGGGGAGCTGACACAGCAACCCTCCGACAACTCTATATAGGGTATGTCAGATCTGTGATTGACTACTCCCTACCACTACAATCCATAGCCAGTCAAAGCTCCCGGGCACAGCTTGACAGAGTACACAACCAAGCGCTCAGATTTGTTTCTGATGCCATGAAGACCACGCCTACTAGCGCGTGTGAAATCCACACCAACATAGAGCCACTGGACCTCTGAAGAAAGAGTGCTACACTCGAAACCTACGAAAGATTTGTGCAGCTAGAAGAC